GCTGGGGTAAATATATTAATGAATTCCGGTGTAAGGTTCCTATGCTGTTGTTCCTAAGACTCAGAATATTTGTAGCAATTGGTATATCCTGAGGCACGTCTTGAAGCCCACATCCTAAACACGTAATATGACTCGCTCTTTCATTTCTGGTAACTCGGCAGCAGTCGGTCAGAGCAACTGGATTTTATAAAACAGGGAAAAAATACCAGATATATAACTCCGGCTATGTGATGGCAAGCACGGGGAATATCACAATTATTATGAATTGTGTCAAATCCTATTGTTTATGCACGTGTGTTCATCTTATGCCAATATATTGTAAAACAAAACCGAACACAACATCATTACGAATAGACAACTACATTAAATAGGAATTCAAAGTTCTCTTTGTCCAAGGATAGATGTACTCCAGATCAAATTTGATAAAAATCCTTTCATTCATATGCAAATAGGAGGGTTTTAAAGGTTTACCTTTGTTTCTTCTATTAAGTCGTAATATCAGAGAAAGTGAAAAAAGTGTTGATGACGGAAGGCACAGAAATAGCATTATTGTAAATTAAGTTACAATGATAACTGTTTCCTAAATGTCGATTAAAGTCTATTTGGTGGGAATTCTCGGTCAAGCATTCAACTGATTGCTTAAACAAATCTATCCAAAATTTATGAAACTGAGAATAGTCCGAGCTAGCGATTCCCGAGAGTAAGCGACTGTCACATGTCAGTTCTATAACATTAATAAGAGAGACCTGATTCTTTAACGTGACACATATGCGACACATTAAGGATGGTAAGACACGCATTGTTATCTTTTTAAAATAGTAAAATTGTACTTATGATGACACAATTCTAGAATATAAACGAATATAATAAATATTATATTTACCTATCTGTCGACATGCGGAGAGAAAACTGAGGATCAATATATATACGTGGTTTCCCATGTTTTCGTGTAAACCGTCATTCAGGAAGTGATGGAGGAAACCCCCTTTTCCTTGTGGAAACCGTTTCGTTTTTACATACCCACTTACATAGCTGATGAGTAGTCAAGTGTGACGAATGCATTATACCCCACGAACTGCCATTCTGTACTGAGCACTCAGGTATTACAGCACACATACTGACTTCTAATACACAACGCAACACAACTATTTCCTTAGTTATCGCAGTTCTGTTCATGATAACAAAGATGGCGAACGTTTATGGGGTTCATACTTACGTAGACCTACAAGACTCGTAGTGGCTGAGCAAACATATATGACAAGGGGTTATATGTTAAATTTGAGTATTATAAAATCATCAAATCTCGAAATAAAGTTAAAACATGACTAATGGTTTTATATTGTGTATTACGGTATGTAAGCATACAGATGCTTACATTAAAACTGTCGTGTCTATTTCATAGCTGATATCATGATGGATTATATTACGTGTGTGTGGTTTGAAAGCTGAAGAAACAGACATTTAAAATGAGAAGAAAGTTTTCCGGTAATATAAATGTTTCTGTAGCATTAAAACACAAAAAAAAACAGAAATTGTGTGGTGTCCAATGTCTTCTTTGCCTGCTTTTTTTTTTTTACATCGACAAGGCATATATTAAGTATTTTCAAAGTCAAACAACATCTTAATTTGTTACATCTCCTCGTCTTTTATCATAAGGGTAGATAGTCTATTTTGGGTTTTATTGTGTCCAATGGCTGTATCATTATGGTAAATTGTAATCATTAGGATTCATTGGTTTTTGGGGTATTTTTGGGGTAAATAGTCCATGCTGGATTTATTTAATGGATTCATTGAGGTTTCATTGAGGGGTAAATAGCCTTTATTGGGGTTTGTCATTAGGTATCATTGAGAGATGAATAGCATTTTATAGGGTATGTTATTGGGGTTCACTGGTGTATCAAAGAAGGGGAAAACCATTTCTTGGTTTCTTATTTGGGTTCATGGGGCATCGTTGAGGAGTAAATAACCTTTATTCAAAACCTTTATAGTGGTATGTCATTGGGGCTCATTGGGGTATCATTGAGGCAATCACAATCTTTATTGTGGTATGTTATAGGGGCTCATTAGGGTATCATTGAGGTTTATTTGTATAGCACATCAATGAATTTCATATAAGTTTGAAAATTGGTTTTGTCAAATATGTTCACTGAACTAGGTGAAAAAGTCGTTAAAAAGACCTTCGTCAGATGTGGTGACGGTCGCAAATTTGGAATTACACAACTATTTCAACGACCGTTTGGTATGTTTTCGTCAAACATGGTCGCTAAAATGTATCATATGTGGTCGTTTATGTTAATTTTAGGGTCAGTATTGGGTGGTCGCTGGTTGCGTTAGACAGATGGTCGCTTAACACAGTTAAATTACATAGCAAAAATTTGGTCGGGAGGAATGAAAAGTGGTCACATAAAACAGAGGTCGTTTGATACAGATCGCTTGAGCAAAATCAACTGTTTATATAACCTTAATTGGGGTATGTCATTTGGGCTCATTTGGGTATCATTGAGGGGTATGTAGCCATTATTAATGCTCGTTTTTGGAGTTCATTGGGGTATTATTGCGATGTAAATCATCTTTACTGTGGTTTGTTGTTGGGGTTCATTGTTGTTATCATTGCATGAAGATATTGGTAATGAATTCATAGGCGTAAATACATGTTGTTATTACTGGATTCATTGTGGTACCATTTAGGAAAAAAGCCGTCCTTGAGGTTCACTGAAGTACAATAGCATTGTGGTTAATAAATAACCTTTGCTGAGGTGTCGATAGGTAGCTTCATTGGGTTTTATTTAGAATATTGTGTTCCAAAGGATAAACTTAGATAAATTGTCTCTTTTGGTACTCATAGTTGGCTTGTTGGGTTGTTGGGTATGGATTTTCCAATTTTTTTTTCTTTTTACGTTAGAATCGACTGACGAGACATCTATAGACGAAATGGTCACATGTTACATAAAAAATATTTCTTTGCCTAACTTTCTCCATTGGCAAACAAATATTCTCAAATAGGTGCTTACTTGCTCGGTATTTCTTGTGAAATCCCGCACAATAACGTGGTCAACCCTGCTAGTGAACTACATGTATCAGCCCCAACGGTGGCTGGTACCTTGCAGCCGGTATTTCACTATGAATACCAATTTAAGTATTAATATATAGTAGCCAAAAGGTGCTATTTTTTCTTAAATTAACAGGTTTTAAGGTGCACCTTCCCCTTTTCGCTGTATTCTACACTTAGACACGGAATGTTGACTTTAACTCCATTTGATTAGTCCTAAATGAACAGTAAAATTGCTCATACATTTACATATTAGTGTTGGAGAACATTTCATCTTGGTGTCAGTCACATAGCAGTTTATTGATAATGTTCTCAGGCAAATCTTGACAAATATTTATCATGGTTTCGTTTTTGGTTTATTTTGACAGAGCAACCTTTTTAAAAGAGGATCCGACTGAATCGATTGTGAGATGATCAACGTAACACGCACAGGTTCGTACACCTTTCACATTTTATATTCTATATAGTTTGCCAAAAATTAATTACACTGCATCATATACAGGTGTTTCGTCCTGAGGACTCATCGGTGATGCTAGGGGCCCGAAAAGTTGTAAATCAAAATAGGTATAGACAACTGTTGAAACAGAAGGGAAGATGCATAAAACCGTTGATTTATGAATTTCAAATATTTAGAAGAGAACTGATTAATTTCAAATTAATTAATGAAGTGTGTATACTATGAACCATACCACTACTCAAAAGAGATGACTGTGGCCATCAAGTTAGAAGTGATTTTATCATTAGTGGCATCCCAGGTCAAGGGAATTGGCTTAATTAGATACTAAATTGTTCATCGCCACTGTCCAGTGATTTTTATTTCAGGAATATTTTTCTATTTTAGCGATATCATCATTTGAGGAAATGAAACATACGACCACCTAGTGGTCGCATTGTTTCTTGTGACACAAAATAACACTGCATGATCTATTTTTAACCGTGACCTTAACTAAAGAATAGGTCATGATCAGCAGTTGAACATAGTTCGAAATTAACAGTATGGAAATTCGTCTTTTAGTGAATTTGTTACAAGCTAGATAACTCTGCTGATGGAATCTTCCATCTGGAGTTTATTCTACCATGCATATGTTGAACGTGAAATACTACTTCAAAATTAATTTATCTGGTTTAGACAAAAATGTCTATCTGTTATGTAGTTTTATAAGTGTTTAAAGGCATTTTTCCTTTTCCTGTATTTCCTATATTTCTACATTATTTTTCATATAATTTTTGACAACTTCAATGACAATTCATTATTTTTACCCGAGTCGTAAATCTATGGCCAAAAACCCCATACATGATACAATCATCATCCGATTTCCTTTGCTTTCTGCATCAATAAACTAAACTTTTAAACAGGTGCTTCCATTTACTTGGTATTTCTAGTGACTACATGACCGTTTGTGTGTTTTGATCGGTGCTCTGGAGTATATAACATGTGTTTTGTTATGTATTTGAATAGCAAATTAATTGTATTCACAATTTTGTTTGTGAAATTTTAAATAATAAATAGAAAAATGTAACATGGTAAACAGATTTTAATTCATGTTGGTCACAATCACAGCTGTATACGAAAAAATGTGTTCTTATACAAAGATTTTAAAGCCACAACAAATTAACTGTTTGAATTTATTCCTTGCAAAGAGTTTTAAAACTGTTTAAATGAATTTCTGCATCTCGTACAATTTATCATAATTATTCATTTGTCCTACAAACAGTAATCATTTTATCTAGTTTACTTTTTTAAATTAATTCTATTCATGATAAACACATCCAGCAAAACTTGCAATGATTCAAAATTAATTTGCTGTGGCCATATGTCTTTAAGTAATACATGTCGTAATTTGTATTCCATTGAGCATGAAACAACTTTAATCTAAATTGTACGAACATAATAAAATATATTTTATCTTGACAAATTGTATCACAGTGAAAGGAAAAATATTTAATCTAAATTTTACAAATATAAAATATATTTATATCTTGACAAATTGTATCACAGTGAAAAGAAAATATTAAACAATTTTTGGGTGCAAATTATAACATGTCATGATTGACCTAATAATTCTGTAATTTGTAAAAATTTGAATAGCTTCATATCCTTTCAAAATTCTCACAAAACAAAAACCATCACAGACACTTTTTTTCAAGTTAGCCAGTAAATGAAGGTCGTTTCATGAAGCAATTGGACACTTGGACCAGAAAAAAGGGGTGCTTAAATTATAACAAACTTATATAAAATTATAAAGGATGTGGCATTTATTAGGTCGAGTATGCTAATTGCAAAAAAATATCAAAACAAATATTTACAGAATTCAATTTCTTTTGACCCTCCTACATCTCTCTCTTTCTCCTTCTCTATATTTCTCTCTCTCTTTGCTAAATAAATAGACTTGCATACACAACTATCCATCTCTCTTTTCCCTCTCTCTATCTCTCTCTCTCTCTCTCTCTTACACACACACACACACAGTAATATGTATATACATATATACACATACATATATATATTTATCCACTTTGATAGGTATTCTAATATAGCAGATCTAGAGGATCATACACACTTATTGTGCATTTCAAATTCAAACTCTGTGAGCCTTAATTACCAAGTGAACAATTCACACCCCAAGAATCTTTGAACGTTTATTTGAAATATTAACACCTAAATAGCTCAAGGTGATTTTAGTTTCTTTATTTTCTATAGATCATTTTTTTCAACCAAAAGATAGAAATACTTCTTAAATATCAATAATGAATGTTTAAATCAATTCAATTGAAAAAAATGATTAGAACTTCATAACAAGTAATATTAAACTATCATTGTCTCAAATAGAAGGATAATTTCAGAGGGGGATTCAGGTGGTACAAGATGTATAGAACATTTTGTGAAAATTGATAATACTGTTTGACATTACTGTGATATATTGAACTTATTTCTGGTAACAGTTATTCTTTCAAATGTCTCAATAGTCCCTTCTGACGTTCCATTGAATACTTAAAATATTCTTCTAAGTTTCTTCCTCCTTCAAGAATTCAGCCAGACATTTTTAGATTAAAATACTCAGATGTATTCCTATGACGTTAAAAATTAGTTGCGGGAACATTCTGATGTTTCTTTGGGTTGTATGGTGGTGCTATTCAGTCTACTAGAGCCAAGCAAAGCTAATTACATCACATGATCACGTGCCCACATGCTCAGTAATAAGCCCATCCTATTTTTAAACAGATTTTAGAGATGAGGATCACATCTTCAAATAATGCTATTTGCATACTGTAAATTCTATAGTTTGAAGTGTACATTTATGTTTCTCATATGACCGCTAGCCTGTTGGCTGACTTGCTCTGTAAGCCACTATTCATCATTTTAGCCGTACGCTCGCGAGTCATTTCCAGTTCTTTCCATCGGTTCTCCTCTAGTGCTTTCTGAAATAACAAATATTTCATTATCATTCTGATGGAATCTGATGGAACGGCTGCATTTTTAGTACCCTATTTCACCAGTGAAAAGCACATTATCCCCATAATCAAAAGATATCATTATTTTTCAAACAGAATTTGATAATGAGAATCATATCTACCATGAAAAAAATGTGTAATTTGCGCACCTGTGTAATTTGCACACCTGTGTAATTTGCGCAGGTAATATGATATATCAATACCATAAGAACAAAACCAGAAAACACCTAGGATCACATACTGTTTAAGCATATGTTTTCGTTAGGTTAAATTTTGTTGTTTTTGCAAATTCGTAGGGATTATATTTCGTGGAATCAATATTTTAAAACCCTGTTTTTTCTTCTGGTACTGTAAGCAAGAAGTTTAAATCGACAGGCAAGAAGACACAGTGCAGGTAAATATAGTACAGGTAAGATCGGGCAAGATTTACTTACTTATGGGTACTAGTATCAGACAAACCTGTCATGCTCTATAGCTTATATACAAAGAGCGATATACACATAATGTATACTTTGTAGACTCACATAGACGTACATGACCTGTGTAACAATAACTGTGTTACCAATATAACGCTTGATTGACACGCTGTTGTTATGAAAGTTTACCTCTGTGCCTGTACACCATGGATTTGAAATAAAATTAATTGTTTATTTAAAATTTTCATATAGTTTATATTTCTTGAGTTTAAAATTTCGTTGGAGTTATATTTTGTGCCTTTTATTAAACCACAAAAAAAAACGAAATTATAAATACCCAACAAAATATTATGCTTTTACAGTAGAGTTGAAATACAACGGTCATTGGTATGGACATGTCAAGATTAATACATATGTCTAATTTTGATGACATTTCATACATTCAAACTTGTTTTAAACATTTTTGATGAATAAATGAAATAATGTTATTTAATAGGTAATGACTTGTTATATATGAAACAATAGATCAAATTTAGGATTCCAACATGTACGTTTTTCAGTGATAACAAACTGACATCTCAAAACTTGACTGGTTGATTGAAAGAAATTAAAAGAAGAATTAAAAAGGCTTAATTTCATTAACTTTTAAAGTTAATTACTTCAAAACCCTTTCCTCTTTATTTTTGTTTTATTTTTATCTTAACTCTTTCAACACTGTAGACCATAATGGGCTCATCCATACCAGTGCATGGCAGAGTCTACTAAGTGATAGTGACGAAAGGGTTAAATATAACTATATTAACTATATAACATTAACAATCAATGCATCATACCATAATGCACGAGTTATCTACCTTCCTTCAGTCACGTATTGGTACGATAGGAATATTACATACCTTTTGGTTAATAAGGCTCTGTGTACGGTTGGCCGCACTTCGACTAGAGGTGATCCTGGCACTCTCTTGTTCACGTTTCCTCGTAGCTTTACGCTCCTCCAGCCTCCGTTCTAATTCAGTGAGTTTCTCATCCTTTACCTGTAGGGGTCTAGGTTCTCCCTTCTTTCGTTTCTCGAACCTGTAGTGGTAACAAACAAGTTAATCTAAACATTTCTAAGAGACAGTGGAGATATTCAAACAATGAAATTAATACTACCACTGCACATCACAAAGTTAGGTAATATATTTTTCTGAACAACATCCTATTTTCAGAGGACTAGAAAATGTCTGCAGGACATAAATGCCCCCAACTATCATGCAAATGAAAGTCATTGTCTGACAGATTTCTATATGTAGTAATGGTGACCTTATCCTCGACACTCCTGGGGTTACGCTCACTTTCCCTCTCCGCACCACTGGAATATGTCATAGCAAAACTGTAGGCATGCAGCTTAATTTAGTTAGTTGATAGGTCTTGGGGGGAAAAAAACCTGACCAATCGCTAGGCTGATACCAGTCTTTTGAAAATTAAGAGGAGCGACACTGGACTTCAAAGACAGTCAATTTTACTGTTACGTGGCCGCAAGATTCATTTGATGTACATCAAAGATCAAACTAATCTTCTTGTCTCATCAACAAGGTGACACACACTTTAGCCTTCAAGTTTGCTATGACAAATTCCAGGGGTGCAGACAGCGTAAGTGAGCGTACCCCTGGAGTATGGAGGATGTGGTGACCTAGACCTTTTGGCTTTGTGACTTTTACAAGGTCATTACCTGATGGCCGCAGACTTGGTCTGCTCCAGACGGTGGCGGGATATTGTTTCCAGTGTGTCAAGTAGTTTCTGGTCTTTAGCCTGGAATAAATATCAATATTTACATACCGGAATAATTCAAAATTCTTTTCTCAATCACAAACTAGTCTCTGTATCTCTATAGCAAGGGATTAGGGTTGTGTTGGAATTTGAAGTAAACATGATAAAACTCTCATGTGAACAATATGTCTGTGGTGTCTGTGATTGAATATGACAGAACTTTCAATACTTGAGAAAATAAGTAAGATGTTGCAAATACGATTAAAATATACTGTATTACTTCCCCTTGTTGTGTTTTCTGTCATAAAACTATGATGCCATTTCTTCTCAAACAGGTAGGTGTTTATTGCATTCCAATCAGTTTCATTCCAGAGTTGTTCATTTATGAAATAAGGACGAAACTGATGGCCTGATGTTTTTTTCAACTGATCCTTCAATGCTTGCATTGACATTTACAGGCCCACCGGAATCAAACCTGGAATATCTTGCATTTTGTAGTAGACCAATTGTGAGTAGCACAAGGGCTGTCTACCTGTTTGCTGGCCAGTATATCATCTCTCCTTTGTTCCTCTAGTTCCTCCTCGGCTGTTGCTAGCAGCGACATGCGTTCACGAAGCTGTAATGTTCAAATTAAAACCATGTACTATCTTTTTGTATTTCTTCTATTTAAGTTTTTTGGGGATAAAACACAAAAAAAATATTTTTTATTTATTTGATATTTTTATCTTATTCATGAAATGATTATTTGAATATTGAATTTATTGATGCAGGAATGAATCGATGCAGCTAGTAGCTCTACATATTGTAAAAAAAAGGAAGTTTTGCATGTGAAAATGGTTGTGTTGTGACACTTAATGTGGCAATTTTCTTAAAATTTTGAAATGGTCCTGAAATCTATATTTTCAATATATATCTATTATCTGCATAATCTTAAACATATTTGAGTGTGGATTATTTCCACACTTATTAACTAAACGTGAAAATGCAAGCATTACCACAGCACACTAATTTCCACATTTACAGTATTATACACATTGTCGGTATATACCAGCACATGACTTTTCCTTTTTCTTTGTACTGTGTCAATATCTGTTAGTGTGTTTGCTGCAATTCTTGTTCTTTCAATCATCAGTACATACCTCCGCAATTGACATTTCACTGAGCAGTCCATGGCCAGAGGTCGCTGTGAGGTCAACAAACTTTTGCCGGATGATTGGAACAGCCTCCATGGCGCGGATTTGGTGAATCAGCTCCATCCGCCTCCTCATCTCAGATTCCGCCTAGAATTACATTGGTACATAAAAAATATTATATTGTAGATATCTGGTATCAGAATGTGTTACATACTAAAATCAAAGATAAAACAAAAGGTTTGTCAACAGATGTATCATGATAAAGAAACTAAAATGCACATACACGGTTTAAATACTAATCAAGCCCTGTTAAACTCTTGTTGATTTTTCTAAATGTTAACATGTATTTCATCTTAAGGTGTTTTTCATAAAAGTTCCACAAGCTATGGTTTTCATTTCAGAAATTATTTATGAAAGCCATAGTCACGATTAGAAGTCACGACAATGTACAAGGTAAGCTTTTTCAGTACATTACTTACCTCCTCAACAGCCTGCTTCATCAACTCTCGGCTCTCCTCATTCACATCCTGAACTGTAAAACAAAACACAAAACAAGTTGTACATGGCAACAGTGTAGTTATCACATATAATTCATATTTTAATAGAAAAAATATTTGTAATTCAATGGGTTGTTTCAAAATAGCATGCATGGTTAAAATTGGGCATATATAGATTAAGAATAAGGAACAGGCTTATAGGGAGGGGCTGTGAAAATGAGGTCTGTAATAAAAATAAATATTAAAAAAAGTCCCAGTAATTCACCCACTTTGAATGTGAATGCAATGGTAGTTGTTGGCTTAAGGATTACTGTCCAACTGCATCCAGAACACCTGAGAATTCCACTGTAGCTTCGTACATACAGTTACTTCCCCCTTAATTTTGTTTTGGCTATACTTGTGGATGACTGAGCTATAGCTATGGTACATGTACTTCCATAGACCAGGTAGCTCAGTTGGTAACAGCGACAGTATAATTATCAGTGGTCCAGGATTTGAATCCCAGTCTACATGTAGCCCCCGTTACAATTTTACACTCAGAACAGTGTAGTGGATTTTTTCTTAATGTTTATTTCAAATTTATGATTTTTCATGAAAATTCTGCAAGGTATGGTTTTCTTTTCAGAAATGATCAATCAAAACCATATCCATGCCAGAATTTTTTTTCCAATGCATATAGCTTTTGGTAATGATACAAGGACCCTTAAAAAGGCTTCATAGTATTACACTACTCTATTCGTTTTTTCAAAAAGTTGTCCAGATTTTGATTTATCGAATCCAGAACCAAAATTACCAATTTTCCGTTTGATCTCCTGAATTTTCTTAGTAGCATCCTTGGCATTTTTGTGGCCCTGCATCGTCTGTTCCACCAAGGTCCTTTAAAGAAAAAATTGTTCATTGTGTCTTGTTGAATAAAAGATTAGCAATGTAGTAAATTTACGCATTTTTATACAAATATTTCTGTTTTTTAACCAAAATTTAATTGTCTATTAAGAGGCTCCGAATAGAAACGTTGAAAAACAAAAGAAAACTTTGATCTCCCTTTTTTGTGTGAAAGCTCCATTCCAACCAATTTCTCAACATACATTAAAACCAGGTTGTAATGCCACCTGTTAAACCGCCAAACCTGCATACCGCCATTAATCTACTCAGAACAGATTTCCCCAACGTTAACGTACACATTGTAACGCCAAACTTGCATACCCCCATCCGCCATAATATTCCAAAAATAAGTGGTTAAAATCACACTATTTTGACCTCGTTAAATACCGCCAATTGGAGTCGAGTACAGGTATATCCTGATGACAGGAATGTTACGTATGTGTGTACATTGTATTGTTACATGTGAATGCTGACTGACCAGGTAATCAGCTGTATGTTTTGCCCGCTCAACAATTTGATACATTAGATCACAATTTCAAAAAAAATACGTATTCTGAAGTAAAATATTATTTTTTCAAAGTATATAAGTTCAGTTTGTGTGTGAACACTCAGGTTTAAAACTGTTAACCTGATATACTGCCAAACTCTTTATACTGCCAAAATCACAGAGGACAGAAGGTGGCGGTATAACGTCTAATTTTCTCTGACAGCAATTAACTCTAGACCTATACCAAATTCTAACCTCATTTCCTGCTCCTCCTTAAACTTCTGATGTAGGAATTCATCAAACATTTTCTTTGTCTGTGGAAAGAGCAAATAAAATACAATTAGAAAATACAATAAAATACAAAAAAACCTTTATTTATCAGATGAAAATAAATGCTCCGATGATTAATGGAAATATTGAAAAGGCTTAACTTCCAACAATAATTATACAGTCAGACTACAGCTAGAACCGCCACCTTTCATTAGTAGACCAGCTGTGTTATTAAAGAGACCTCTATTAAAATTCATATTTCAATATAAGAATGACTGTTTTAGGACAAAATTGAAATGAAATTTTCTTGAAGAAATATATGAATTTCAGATCAGATAAATAAAATGTTTATGACATAAAAAAAATTAACATCCTTTTCTTTTCTTGTGAAAACAATTGAATAAGAGGAATCTGGAGATGACAAAGCCTGATATCTTTGAAAACTATCATTATTTTGTTTTGTTTTTTGGGTTATTTTGTTTGAGGTTTAAGACTTTTTAGACAGCTGACTAAATAGAGTCAACTGACCATGGAGCCTTGACCAACGGCTATTTTAAAGCACCACCTCACTGAAATTTCACACAAAAGTCATTTGAGTCAAGTATGACACCTCATTTGGTCATATTTTTTTTATTTTTTGCTTTTCATTCCATTGATAGTTGAATATACATCCCGAAGTGCTCACCTCCTCTCTGTGATTGAGGACCTTCTGTTTGTTTGTTCGCATGAGATTCTGTCGTGCCAAAATGGCCTCTTCATGGCTCAGCTTGCCTTCCAAACGACGCCGTTCAATGGCTGCCAATTCCTGTTCAAGGTCCTGAGTTTTCATTTTGTTCTGCCATTTTTCAAATTCGCTCTTATCCTTGGCCCCAGCTTCCAAGTTTTCAAACCTGAAGCAACGGAAGAGAAAAATCAGTTTTGTTTGTGCTTAAGGTGTTTAAATTCTCTTAATTGATAAGATCAAATGAACAACATAAAAATGGATAATGGAACCCTCAGGGACCCCTTTAAGGATCCCTGTCCCATCGGAGAGAAAGCATTAGAGAATTCCACTGCAGTTTTTTATACCTAGAGTTACCTCCCTTTTATTTCATGTGTAACTCGATTGAGCTAGGGATCTTTTTTGTTTATTTCAGCATTATTATTTTCCAGAAATGTTCAGAAATGTTTTATAAAAGCTAAAGTCACTCTGGAATAAGAACTTTCCAATGCATAGTAACATACTTTGGAAGTGGTACTGGGATTCTCAAAGTGCCATTTCACTCATATTTTCTGAAATATTTTATTTTTAAGGTAATTTAATCAACAACTTAGATGATGTTTTACTTTCAATACCATATCTACAAATTAAGACAGATCTATTGCAGAAGTGACAATTTTCGTGTGTCACACTGAACATTTTTGTGGTTTGGCTACTGATGATGTTAATTTAAGTTTTATGTTTGCAATGCTGCTGCAATTATACAAATATATCTTTCTAGTGCAGCAGGATGTTCTCGCATTCAAGTTTTTGCTTAGATTTAATAAATATGAAAAAAGCATTGATCTGCCTAGTATGAACATAGATCTCCATCTTTAAATAAATCTCCATCTTTAAGTGTGTCAAGAAAGTGACCACACAATGTATGTCAGTTACCTTTTTATTTCCTTCTCCTCTCGCTGTGAATACAAGTGCCCCTCCCTCAGAATGGCAGTGGTGTTCATCTTAAATGGAACTTCTTTACTCTGTGACACAAAAAAAATAGTTTGAGCTAATTTACCAAGATTTTTTATTAAATCTGGTTCAAAAAAAGTTATGTATTTTTGAATGTCAAATATCAACATTCTTCAAAAGTCATGTAAATTTATGAGTGTCAAAGGTTACAATGCAATGCTGAGGGTCAAAGATAATTGACAAAATGTTAAGAAAAACAATGCCTAATGAGACTATCACCTTTCTGAAGACATTGTCCAGCAAGACCACCCGTCTAAATAGACTACCTGTCTAAAACCTTCACCTGTGTAGACAGAACATATCTAAAAGGACAACCTGTCTAAAGAGACCATCTGACTAAACAGAACTCCTGTGACATAATGAAATACCTATCTAGAGAGACTACCTGTCTAGTGGCAGCATATCTCTAGTTTCAGTATCTGTCAAAATAGACCACCTGTGTAATGAAACACATGTCTAGAAAAACATGATGTCAAGTAAGAGCATCTGTCTAAATGGACAATATGTCAAAAGAGTTCATCTGTCTAAAACATCATCTGTCTTAAGAGATAATCTGTCTAAAGAAATCACCTGTCTAAAGAGATAACCTTTCTAAATAGACCACCTGTCTAGAGAGATCATCTGTCTAAATGGACCATCTGTACAGAGAGATGATCTGTATAAAGGGACCACCTGTCTAAAGAATACATATGTCTAGACCAGGAATATCATGTACATTTCCAAAGACCACTTGGTAAGAAAAGACCCATATATAAAAATTATTTCTTTCACCTCTTTTACTGACCACAAGTTGCTAAATGGGACTTGAAACATGTCTTGTGTGTGGCAAATGGGGTTTACTAAATGTTACTTAAACTGCGAGAAATAGTTCCAGTAAGGTTCACTATATACTACTTGCCGCAAGAATGTACATGCAAAACAAGAATTAATCATAACATGTTTTGACATATAACAGACTGTCACATCTTTCATATATATGGTAATTTTGATATTAATAGATATTGTATGATTACAAATGTACAGGTGTCCTTCTACCTTGGCAAGTTATGTCACGAAAAATACATTTCTCTAGTTACATAATACAAACATAAGTGTACTACTTAACAATTTTAACATTAACAATGGAAATATTGACAAATGTATTATATGTCACTGTTAAGGCATTACCTGGTGGATTGTAGTTCCTAACATTTTGTCACCTTTATAAAAGTTGTTTTTTTCTGGCTCAAAAATATTTTACCATTTCGTAAATAATTTTGTAATCATGTTTTATGAAAAATCCGGAAGATTGCTTATATTATATATGTCAACTAGCCATGCGAAAAATACTAATTTACCTTTCTTAATTTGGTCGCCATGGCAATGTCACAATAAAAACAACAGACTAACGTCATATTTAGTCATAGTTGATACCATGTCCATATGATATATCCAACTGACCTGACTATACTTACCTTATATAAACTCTACTAAAGTCTATGTGACAATAGTAATTTAAATGTTAATTGCTATATTGAAGAAACACTTACAGAAGAAACATTGAAATTTACGTCAAGGTACAAGAAACTAATTTGGTGTGGCCTAACAGGAGTATGTAAGTATGCAATATCACCTTCATATATAAGAAGGCCAAACAAATCAATCTTTAACACATGAAGGTAATGTTTACAATAACACTGCTGACATGCATGTATACATTGTCCCAGGTGTAACAGACCGACGGGCAGTTTTCTGTGAAAACAGTCAAGTGAGGGGACACAATTTTACAGGCATGCTTTATTCATTCGTACCTTAGCTTACAACATTTGACAGAAAGAAACAGGCATAATCATATCTTACATCTTACAACACAATACAGTTTATTACAGATAAAAAGAATGAAAAGCATGCCCGACAGTCTGTAGTATCTTTTTAAATGTTCAGCTCGGACTACCATTTCTTTCTTTTTCTTTTTCAGTGAGGCACTATCAGAAACCAGTAATACACTTTTTGAAAAGTCATGCAAACTAGCAGTACAACAGCCTTCTTGGATGGACTAATTATCAACTACCAGATTACAGTTGTCATGCAGAAAGAACAATCAAATTTACTTTTTCTAATAATTTTCTTCATTTTTCAAAAGAAATTCTTTGTGTTCAAACTAAAATTTATAGAACAATTAATGACATTTTCAGGAAAGAAGCCAGAGTTATTTTTTGTAATAATGTTTTCTAGAACCAATTTAAGGACTTTCACATTACAATTTTTAATTGCAAAATACTTTGTATGTGAATTGCATGTTAAAAAAAATATTGTGTCAGGCCATTTGAAAATATGATGGCATAATCAATTGTTATGTCCAAATAAATTGTTTATCTTTTTTATTTTCACTGCATATGCTAATGCTGCTGTCTGATTTCAAATCAAAGTAACACACTTGTAATTTTCACAGCAAGTGAAATAACAACTTAAGTTATTTTATATTTAATGGACAAAAATCTACCTAATATTAAAAAATATATATATATATAAAAACTATTCAAAGTAAGTGATTGGTTTATTTTTGAGGGGAAACAGTGATCACAGTGCTAATTAAACATTTAATGAAGGGGCATGGAGCAATTTTTACCACCGACAGCAATTTTTTACCTTGCAAACAGAATGTTGAATCATTTTACTAAACAGATCTATATATAACATGCATATGGCCTTGTTTGTAGATAGATAAAACTTTGACACTGTATCACAACAGCTTTGTACAAAAGAGAGACGGATAGACGGACAGACATGCTTGTAAGGGGAGACCACTCACAATAGCTCGAACCCGTCGGCGGGTCGTGCCTCGTTCTGATTCCATCAGAGTGACATGAGTAGACTCCGACTGGGTACAACATAACATCATTTAATTATAGTGAACATCTTTAGCAAACAAAATGTTACGTGTATCTAGTTGTCCATTAAGATTTGGCTCAGAACACTGTAGATATCCAGAAATTATTTTCATATAATGAAAGCCATGCTTTAATCTCTTAAATTTTTATCAAGTATATTGATAACAATCTAGATAATCTTTCTGAAAGGTTTCCAACTAAGTTCTTCATCTTCATACAAAGTTTTGACAAAGAAATTTTATGTAATTCTATAAATCAACAAGCTACTGAATCATACAATATTTTTTTACGGGTATATAGGGAAATATCTTGTAGTTTGTACATTTTTATACACCCAACAAGAAAAAGGTCTGTAAATATGACCATCCATATATGTTGCAATCCAAAAGAAATTTTAATAAAATATGCAAATTTCCCTGTTTTCTCTTGTATTACAAGTAAATCCACATCTGGGTTTTATCAGAGGATAAGTATGGAAAGTTAAGATAATCTTACCAGGAAGGACGGAGTGGGTTTAGCTCTGTGCCTCTCAAAGTCAAGTTTGCCATCCTCTTCACTGATAATGTTGTTCCAGATTTCTTTTGTCTTGTCAGACTTTTCAGGGTTTGCACAAGCAAACTGTATCCGGGAGGCTTCCATTAGTCGCTCCTGTAAAAACAGTTCAACACTGTAACACCACTGTGATCCTAATGTCTACCATGTCAGACAGTCAGCAATGTAACAACACTTTTCATTGCTTTATAACCAAGTACTATCGGACGAAATGTTGAATAAGTGGATCAATCTTCTCTGAGATTTATAAATCATCACATCAAATACTCAAATCCCATTCATCATTTGTTTTTCACATATTTCTGCAGAATAAAATCAGAAACAACCACAATGAGTTTGCTTACCTCTGCTTTTCTTCTGTTAACATCCCTGTTCCTCTTGAGGACATCAAATTCTTCAGGATCGTCATATAATGAACGAGGGGGTGGCTTATGTTTGTGCAGTTTGGGAATCTGGAATTTAATTATTATTTCAGTATATTTCAATCAAAGTCTTTGTTGCATAATTTGTCATTTTCTCACCATATGAAATATTATTATTATTATTTCTTTTTATAATGTTTTATCGAAATTTATTTCAATACTGACACTAGTAAACTCCTTGGGTTAATTTCACAAATACACAACAAAACCCTGTTAATCCAGACACTTAACAAAATTTTGCAATTTGGTAATAATACTCCAGATTACATGTATTTCAGATCTTCTTGTTTTTGCTGATTCAATATTTTGCAGCTTTTTACCCACACAGAACAAAACCCCAGCTATTCTCAAGATAAAATTATATTGAAAATTTGTTCAGAAATCGCCAAAATGGTGTTGCATGAAAAAGCTAGAATAGACAGAACGGACAGATTTTACAAGGTTATTTAATGTTTTACTCACTGCTTCTGGTATTGGTATACTCCTTGGTCTAGGCTGTGTGATGTCAAAAGGCCTCGTTTCTGAAAACATCAAGTCGCATTTGAGTCTAACTTGTTCAAACAGTGAAAAAACACAAAACATCACATTTGGTACGTCCTTCTCAAAGTATGCCTTTCATCTTAAAGTTTGCATCCAAGAGAGATCCCAAAATCTCCTGTGACCTTAACTCATTCACCCCTGAAGACACATTTGAACTCTTCCAATTCTAAGGTTGGTATAGTTCATTATGAAACTTCAGGGGTGAATAAGTTAAACTTCTTGACAGATTCTCATCCCAACCTACTGATTCCCTTGAACATTTGTTTGCCGTTTTTATCCTGCAAAAAAATCCTAAGGGGGTGCCAACACATAATCTATCACTCAAAGTAGGGGGATCCAGGGCTAATAACAGGACAATGAAATACTGAATTGGTACGCATTTCTACTACACTGGGCTTATTATCAAGCATGGGCTTATTGCAAGATAAGTAATTAAGTATATTAAAGCAGCTGAAATGATATACATGTTTCATTAGCACCCCAACTCAACTACTTGAAACAGGTTTTTAATATGGGCTGGAGAGGAGGGCAACAACCATTGTTTACCTAAAATGAAAGACATGTACCATGAGCACAAGACCTAACTCCACTCTTGCTCAAAATAAATGGACTTTTTTTTTTAAATGGTCTTCTAAAACAAATGTATAAAACACTAAGCTGGATGAATGAGGTGTTGAATGATAGGTAAAACATATTTTCGTCTCATTTCCATAACTCTACAGTCCCCATTGATGCATATATTGATAGAAAAACATGTGGATCATTTCGTGTTGACGTACCTGTTTTGGGCGTGGTCTTGCGACGAGGTTTGATTTTGTTGTCTATTTTGGCTTTCATATGTGTTAACATTTCCTGAAGTTCTGGCATCCATCTGTAAGACGAACACAGAGGTCAACACAGGTTCAAATAATTCTAAAACTTCACTAAAGTTATAGGCCATGTCGTGTTGTTTCCACTTTTTAAGCCTTCCACAGCCTCAACTCAGAGAGTAACTACCTATTACTATTTGGCCAGGTAGATTTATTTTTGTAGATGCCATGAAACCTGACTTTATCAACATCAAAGGGAATTGCTTGATCTGGTCAGATGTAAGTGTGTCAGTAAAGCCATGATCAGAGAAAGCAATATTTTGAGATATATATAATTCTGTCAGATTTTACAGAATGTCCTTTTAGGTCAGGTGACAGTAAACTAAGGGTTCTCCTTATCTGATAATCTAACTGAAAGAAGAATAAAAGTTATTGCTACATGTTTTATAATTTAATTATTTTCATCACTTCTTTCTTGTTTCAAGCCAAAACTGAAAACATTTATTAGAGTCGAGTCTAATCTTTTTATCAATCATTATTTCCTACCTAGAGCTTATGTAGCCAGATAGAATAAAATGACTGAATTACAGTCAACATTTTTAATACAGCTATATGAAGTACTAGGAAATGTTTTCAAAAGCTGAAATCGGAGCTAAACAGACAGTCTACCCAAAGAAATGGATTGCTGAGTACAAAGTCTAACCAAAGGATATATAGGTCACAGTGACATAATGCTATGGTAATTCCTCAAAATGCATCTTAAAATGAAAGTTGACGAGTGTTTGGTCTGTAGTATCAGAGTAATGCATGGAGCTGAATTCAAAGTCTAAACGTGATGTACGTTATACGGACAGAAAGACAGACCAAAAAGGCAAACATGTTACCCCCCCCACACACACCAACCAACCACTCCACAATGTTGTGGAAGCAAAAACAGGACTTAGATATGTCTCCCCTCCCCATCCCCCCAACCCCGCCAAAATAAAAAAGTTGGATAGCACAACAATCACACTAGTGTTGGCTGGACTAAGTATATGCTTAAGGTCATAGGAGTGTATTGATAAACGGAAGTAGAAAGTACATCCCTTGTTGAAAATCCANTTAACTGTACTTATATATAACCTAGTAAAAAGAAAAAGAAAATTTACTTTTTCTCAACATTCTTATTTTCAAAAGGTCTTGCTTTGTATAACTGAAAAACAATGCAAAGATTTTCTTAACATCTCATATGATGACAGGACATATAAGAAACGTGAAAATCATCTTGTTTACATGTACATATGTTGACACTTTTCTTTTCCTTATAACCTGAAGTTTCAGAAATTATGTACATTAATTTCATATGACAGACTGCATTAACCTACATTAGATAAAGTGTTTTGACAGTTCGTGTAAATTTATGCTATCAACGTAGATCAATGTGACAAGCTGACGTGGCATTTACATGAAAAACAGTAGTATAGCTGGAGGACATGCATAGAGTAGAGCAAATCATGTCGCTTGTTTACAAATTTACATACACGTCAACAATGTCAAGGCTGTGTAGCTGTGCTCGTTTAATTTCAGTTCTTCAGCGATTACATAACATCAAGTTTTTAATTAAACTTCATTATTCATGAAAACAGGGTTTTATAAATTGAAATGCATGCAGATTACCTGTGAAACTTTCCCTATAATTCAATATCCTTCATCTAAGGACAATTTCATGCTAAAACGTAGCAGACTTACCTTTGTATTGGAGACAAGATGCCTGTCTGTACAAATGTATGTTCATAAAATTTCTCCCAGCCATCCTTCATCCATGTCAGCAAGTTCCTCTCATTTAAGCAAAAGTTTAGAAACTGAGGAGAAAAAAGTATAAGTTGACATAACATCAGCTAGGGAAAATCTCAATTCAAGGAATACCCAAATTTAACGTTGTTCTTGAAACTGTGTCCAGATTGCAATTGTTTTACAGGTATCTGATAGGGCTGGGCACACTATATATAAATGAAACAGTGTTGACTTTCCATCAAATTTGTTACAAGAAATAAGTGTTTTGTAAAATTGTAAATAAGAAAAACATCCACTGCAAATTAATCAATAATTCTGAAAATGATATCCTTTTCCATTCTAATACAATGAGTCCATTGTTTATATAATTTATATAACATGATCTCATCAGCATGATTGCATGTACCGGTATTCATCATTTTTGTTTGACACGTGGAAAATATTTATGATATATATCTGGGTGCAAATTTTAAACATAATTTGCAAATTTAATAAACAAATCAATAAAATTTGCAATAACAATTACAAGATATGTGACAGTAAATAACATGCACACATTTCACAAGTTGACAACTGCAGTTACACATACTGTTGCATCAATGTACAATATGTTATGAAAAGGTTGGAATCATTTTGATGTGAACTACAACTCGGAAACAGATAACGTTATTGTAATATCATGATTCAGAGCAAATTTCATTTGGTCCAAAACAAGAATCTTAACCCATGTGTTATATACAATGTATGACTCTCTTTACATCAGTTATTATAGTGTAAAATCATTCCTCGGTATGATTTGGTTAATGATCATCCAGCCAACTTTTTTGTTCATAAAATAAACATGACAATTAACCAGCAAGGCTTTTTTCTGGGCCATTTATGGGCCAAAGTTCAAGTTGGCTCCTTCGAAAATAGTGGTTTGAGGTTTTGGGGGGAGGGGATGTGTATTCGAAATTTCTGAATTTGTTTCCTGCCTTTTTCTTCAATATTTATCGAAATTCAATTTTAGATGACAATGCAACATCTAACATCTGAAATGGAAACAATCTTTAATCAACAAGAATGTTTTAGTTTTTAAGATGATTAAAATTTTTTGTGAAGGAATCATCTTAAGAGGGCCATACAACTGGATCTTTGAATATAAATAAGGAGTTAGCAAGTGGTAAACCAGTGTTGTATGTTGGTTTTCATCACACTGAGCTGGTATACATCACACTGAGCTGGTACACATCACACTGAACTGGTTTACATCACACTCAGCTGGTACACATCACACTGAGCTGGTATACATCACACTGAGCTGGTATACACATCACACTGAGCTGGTACACAACATCACACTGAGCTGGTACACATCACACTGAGCTGGTATACATCACACTGAGCTGGTATACACATCACACTGAGCCGGTACACATCACACTGAGCTGGTACACATCACACTAAGCTGGTACACATCACACTGAGCTGGTATACATCACACAGAGCTGGTATACATCACACTGAGCTGGTACATTGATGAATAATTGAATTTTCCAAATTGACAGCAGATACGTACGGTATACCTTGTACGTCAATGATTTTTCTCCATTGACGTAAGAGGCCTTTTCCAAATTTGCCCAGAAAAAGACTTGAATTGAATAGTCCATGCACTTATTCGATTACTTCTAATACATGCAAGGACTTACTCAAACGTCAATCCACTTTGTTGAATTCTACATATATATTGTACTTATACTATTGACTAAAGAAAATTTCAATTTAAAGTGACTTACCCGATACATCTTGTTGATATCCTGAGCGCTGACAAATTTCCTAAAGTGTTCTACCCCCAATTCGTCCAGTCTAAAGAACGCCAGGTAACTGGTAACTACAAAACACAACAACAAAATATGATTTTATGTTAATTTTAGAGGTGATTGTTTGGGGCCACTGACTTGTACTTTTCATTAACAAATTACGTTTTATTCTCCTCTAAAACAAGGATCCTCTATAATTTCATCAGTGATTATCACGATGAAAAATTTCACTCAAAGCTGTTTACTTATTTTCTTCCTTATACAGTAAAACCTCAATTCAATGTCCCTTGTTACATTTGCGACCCAACTACCCCAACATATTTCAAAGTCCCTTTTTTCTCCTTTTTTTTTAGGAATTCCTTTACCTATATGTTTGCCTCAATTTATTGCCAAAACACTTTACAATGCCAACATTTCTCTGGGAAAATGTTGGCTGTATAAGGGGGTTTTGCTGTACAGAAAATAAAGCAACCAAAAGAATGTTTTTTTCTGGCATAAAATTACTTCTCTGGTAAAGGTAGTCATCTTGCAATGTTCAATGTGGGGGGGTTTCTGAGGATTTATGACCCTAGTTCGCCTCTCATTTTGATGCTGTGCATTCATAGTTTTTGGGTTAGGCCAAACATAAAATATTTGGTATTTCCGGCTACCCTACCTACATGTACCCTAACTTGTTGTGCCTACCCTGAACTTTTTTAAGGCAATTTCAAAGAAGCACTGTTAAAGTCAAGATCACTCTCCTATATAAACCATATAAAGTTATGTGTTAAAATAACATTTGTTACCTAGCTACCTACCTACCCTAAATTTTTCCAACATGTTACAGGAAACACTTATATTTTTTTTTTATCTGGTCTTAGCAACATAACAAAGGAACTGGTAGCAAGCCTTCTTTCCACAGCACATGTCATTACATCCTCACAGAAGTTTGAAGTCTTTCATCGTGATTTAAAACTTTTGTCTGACCTAGCTTGAAGTGTCCTAACACTCTGACAGTAAATTTATGCAAAACCTCTTAAAGCCAATTATAACCAAATTAAACAGGTTTGATATCCATGTTTACCAGTTCAGCTTTCAGATTGTAATATGCCAATGAACACTTGATAAAGAAAATGGCTCAATACTATAGCCAGGAGAAAATACTGTAAATGAAATGGAAAACCCTGGGTGTTCTCTGGAATGCATTTTCCGGTCATGCAGGTAATTTAAATTACCCATTGCAATACATAAAACTTTAAAAGCGTGTTGGTTAAATCACAATTTATGAATCTGACCAACAGGAAGCAGGTTAAGCTTCCTCCATGGTCTCTTATAGTAACACAAATGACCAGATATACTTACCAATATACAAGTTCTCTTCTGATCGCAGCACATTTTTTCCATCTTTAACAAAGAAGCCATCTGTAATGACTTTCATGAGATCCCAGTAGCGGACACAGTTTGAAAAGACTTCTACTATGAAGGTCTGGTCTCCTTCGTCATATATCTGAAACAAAAACAGTTGGTACTGAAGGGTCATCATGTTGGATATTTGGTGTTAGAGCCAGAGGATACTTGGACTATACCAAACATCTGTTTGTCTGAATGTCTGATGTTTCAGTCAAACAATGCTTGGATTATATCAAGCATCTATCTGTTTGAATGTCTGATTTATGGTCAAAGGATGCTTGGATTAAACCAAGCACTTGTCAGTCTGAATTTCTGATTCTGATTTTACAGTTAAAAATTACATGGTCTACACCAAACACTTGTCTGTGTGAGTGTTGTGTCTGATGTTATGGTCACATATGGCATAAGTCCGAATTATTCTGACGTTTTATTGACTTTTTTTATATCGGTCTGTCGCCGATATAAAAAGTCGATAAAACGTCAGAATAATTCAGACTTATATGGCATATATGTCTTACATTTGCCAACCTTATGAAATTTCCACGGAATAGATTCTGTTTGCTCAAAATTAAAAACATAAATAAAATGTATTTATACACGTGTACATGATTATACACCTAGGGATAAAATAACACTTTAAAATGCCATCTTTTAGGTTGATCTTTCAGTGGCGTACCATACATACATGCTTGTATGCTCAAGCATACACTAAATTTTCCAGATTTTTTTTAATCATTTCTTTTTTAATGATTAATATGGACTGTCAGTATCAATCGTAAAGAAAGGAAAGAATAAAAAAATCTTCTTGAAAACTAGTTAGTGAAGTACAAAATCAAATATTCATATAAAAAGTCTTGTTTTACTTGTAAATAAACAAACTATAAGAATTTCCCAGAATATGAGAGATTATTTCTAGGGTCTAGTAAAATTCTATTCCTCTCCCATATCCTCCCCCTCCTCTGGCGCTACGCGTAAGCATACACTCCGAAAAATGATTTGCTACGCCACTGTTTTTCACATGAAATCATTAGATCTGGTTGATTGGTTCTTACCCTCTGTGCCTTGAGGCATTTGTTAACATGTTCCTCAACCGACTGCATGTCTCTGTTGTAGGTGTCCAGCACTCGGACCGCATGGACAAGCAGCTGACCATGACTCAGGCTAGCCATATTTGAATTGGGAAATGCTCTGACCAATCTGCAATTCGATATAAAAATGAAAAATAATTATATAGAATATTTGCTTTTGTCCAAGTCCACTTCAAAAAAGAAAATGGGTATAATGGGTCTTGAAATGTTTCTTAAATATGTTGGAATCATTTCCTTGGCATTGATCATGATCGAACACATCAAATACAGATGAACATCATTTGCTACTGGGTACTATTTACTAGTCAGGCTCTGCCTACCTGTCATGGCACCAACAGCAAAATTATTTCTGAGACATTCTTTTTATTGTTTTGAATATGCTTCTAAGAATTAAAAAAAAAAAATTGTAATGATGTTTAACCAAAAACTATTGTGCATAAACATTACAAACCAGGGAGGGATGAAGAAGCCTTTTTATATACAATAGCTGAGGTTCCTACTCATACACTTCAAAATACATATAATTATTAATTAAATGTACAAACATCTGTTTTAAAGATCTTATTTACTATTTATGCACTTATTTACTGGCAGCTGACATTTAAAAGTCATTTGATTTCTCAGTGTGAGAACAAAATAATCGATTCCAATATAGAAAGTTTAAAAACATTCAGTTTCAACCACGGAGTAAGATTATCTAAGTCCTTGGTTTCAACCTATCTTTATTTTTTATTTTTTAGTATCATAGAGTTTAAGTTTATCTTTAATAAATTTAAAATTTAATTTTACTCAACCAAATGAGATGTAGTATATTAAACAATATGGGATAAGATAGGTTGTTAAACTTTACCAAGATCTCAAGTAAAGACTACAGTAGAATTTCCTGAACTGTTTGTACGTGTATGTATTTCATGATACTTTTATTATTATGTCATCTACTCTACCAATTTACAATTACAGTCCATAAAAAAGCACACAAAAAATGTTCTTGATGACATTTCTAAAATCAATGGAGTTCTTTCGTTTCATACCCACAACATAGTGCCGTAGTCAGGGCAATTACGTATCCCTTTCACTCGAAAATCTCTATACGTATAAAAAATATAACAGTAATGAAAGGTCAATACCAGCGTAGAACTGAACGTAATTAAATATATAGATCACTATCAGTAGTATGCATCCATATTCAAAACTTTCACATATGTACGGCTTGTCTTGAACACTACATTATAATAGCATCGATACATAAGTGTACAACAGTCAGGTTAATATGATATATTGTGTAAAAAAATGTAAACATGACCAGCGACAAGGTAACATCAGCACAGTAAAATGTGCGTTTATCCTTCGTTTTTTATGCATTAAGCGTTGTTTATTTTATTAAATGTGAAGACATACAATACTGTTCCTTTAATTAAGTTAATGTCAACTTCTAATTCCATATATTACCTGCCAAAAGATTGATTTAAAATCCAGTGGTCTGATCATTCAACTGTGTGCCGCCATATTGCATTTCACGTTGTCACGGCAACAAGAAACACCTCTTGTCAATCAGACGCTTTAGGAATTATTGACTGGAAATTTGATGTATATGCCAATTACAAAGCATTGGAAACAATACAGTGTGTGTTGAGTATACTAATTAACTTATTATAATTAAATTACAGTCGTTATAACACCCTCGATATCCTTTGGGTCAGTGAATATGTCTGTTTTATTCTAAACATTTAAATGACGTGGATGTATTATAAGAAAATAATCGGAACCGGACGGTGTATTTACCGGAACTTTATGCGGCTATCGACCACTATTCTGACCAGAGCTCCTTTGATGATTCGATGATTCAACAATAAATAAAAGGGAAACGTGTCCATATCTGAAAAAACTTATTTGTAAAACTATTAAAGGTTTTATTAATTATCTGCTTCTATTCCTGAAAATATATGATAATAAAGCTCGACTGTCAATACACTCATACTCTAAACGTTTATGTTATTTGAGTATTGACAGACGATGCTAGCACCTGTGATTATATAAGGTTTAGCAGATGGTATGAAATTTACGGCAACAGGTGTTTTAAATTATTTTTTAATTCAATTTTAAATTAGTATTGAATGAAACAAAATCAGCACAAATAAAATGGGGTGAACTTTTAAACTTGTTTAAAAAAAACTAGTAAAATGTATGTATTCAGAATTGATAAAATTCTATTAGAGCTGCTTAATGCAGTAGTCCATTAATTTACCAAATTAAGCTATCAATGCAGATTTACCACCTACTTGTTTCATCTAAAACATGAAACAAATGCAAATACTTTTCTGTTACAATTATAGAAATGGAAGTCTAAGAAGATACATTATTTATTTTTCCACAAAAGTTAAAAGAAATCGTAATAGAAGGCTTAAATTGGTGGTCCAATAGTTTCGTCAAAACATTTATCTTATTACGCCTCTCTCAGTCTCGCACCAGGGTCAGAAGAAGAACGTGGCAACATAGGGTATCATTGTCTCATTCCTCATTGGCGAAGTAATTATAAAGCATCAGGTATGAAGGACCAATGTCTGACATTAAATTTTAAATTAGTATTTAAAATTTAAATTCTATTTCCTCCTGTGATAGAAAATATGGGACATTCGTGGTGCGATCTCTGCCTCGTACTGGTAAGGTTACTACCCGAGTCTTAAAAACCTGATAGGTATCACGTACGCGTTGCTACATGCAGACTGAACATTTCCACCATGCGGCACTTCAATATTAAGAAAATGTAATTTAATGTTGGAAAATAGACAAGAAACCATTTCTTATTTAAGTTTTTGAAATATGAAAATTTCACATGGACATATATCGAGAAAATACACGATTTCAATGCGTAAATTACTCCATGCTGCGGTGTTTATTGTCATTAATGGTCTAAAAGGTGTCAGATATTCATACACAAAAATAACTTCAAGAATGCTATAATATTGGGTCATAATTGATTTGCCAGTTCTCCCAATTTTCCTTGGAATTCTCCCTCCTGTGATGGAAATTATGGGTCCATCGTGGTACGATCTCTGCCTCGTACTGGTTAGGTTCTCTGTATAATAAATACAATGAGTCTGTCTGCTTGATGTTTTCTCAAATTCAGTCTTGACTGCTCGGTAAATTTAATTAAGCCTACTTTTCCGACGATGGCAGGTAATTTGAGCTTTTCCGTCAATATTCGGGACTTGTTGATATCGTTGACGAATATCGTTGGATTATCTGGTTTCGTGTTTCAAAATATTAGAGACTGTTGTAACTCGACTCTCTAGTAGACGATCTCCATGGAAACATATATTGGTCTGTTGTCCAATCTGTTTAAGATCTTCGATGGCTAGGCCAAACAACTTTTGAATCCAGTTTTTTGCATTTATATAAACTTCACTTATTTTGCATTCTTTTACAGGTTCGTCAACTTATTTTATATTAATCACCATTGTTGGCCCAGTAAGAAGCGCAAAAATGATCTTACTATGAGAGGAAACCGGCCGGAGTATCCGGATAAATCGCACATGGTCGGGTATGTAGGTGACCCAATCCATTTTCACACCCGGTCGGTTAATCGAACACCGGTTACTTCCAGTTTCCACTGTGTCACCGCTCCACCGGCCCACCCTTTTGAATTTCATTACGCTAGCCAAAGAAATGTTTTCCTCTCAAAGAGCTTAAAGAGCATGGATCGAGGAGCTTTTCGAACTGCTAATGAGCAATTTGGTGTCATAAAGTTCTGCGCTGACCATCTTGTCGGATGTGCATGCTAAAAATGGCACTAAACGCAGACGACAGGAAAAGGGGTTATACAGGGGTTATAAAGTTGGGCCTTTAGAAACCACAACTGAATTCAGAATGGTTGAAGATGGCTTTCTGATAATTTTTATTGCTGTGTTATTGTTCTATTTCGGTATAATGAAGTATTCATTGTCAGTATAATGGTAGAGAAACAGTTTCTCATCGATTTATCATGTTTCAATCGGGCATCAATTGTTTTATATGTCCGTGTGGCATGTTTAATCATCGGAGACATAGAAATCCTATAATTTCATTTAATACGGAAATGGATATATATATATTACTGATGCGTAACGTTAGTGCAGGCAAATCCACCATGTGACGAAAATGCCATATGATGTCATAATACATAAGATGTGACGTAAATAACGTCACCATAGTCTTCAACAAAGTTTAAGCCTTCAAATATTTTGACAAGAAGAGGTATAAGAAGGGAAAAGCTATACTTTTAATCAGAACAGTTATGAAATATCTTGTAACACAACGAATCTTAAAAATGTGGTCTGTGCGACGGACATCTCGTCAACTAAACTCATTAATCTAAGCCAGTTGGTTGTTATTTAGTATAAATTTATTGCATACACATGAAAATACCCATATCTTAACGCTAATTGCAGTTAATGCAAGTACATTGTTGTCTACTAGTGTACTTAGGTACATGTACAATGTACTGACGATCGGCCACTTCGTGTTTATGGAAATGACGATCGGAAAGATCCGCGATTTGATAATTTGTCAGTTTCCAATATTCATGCAATGTGTATTTAGAATACAATCAACCAGTATCTTTTTAAAAGTATTGTTTGCGTCTTACGTTCAACAATCTTACAACACTTAAATTAAGATACCATCTAGAAATGTTCTAGATTTATATCTGAAAGGAATTTGTTGCCGGCCTGAAAGTCACTGCTGTACAATCGCATGCTGATTGTACATTGAGACCGACAGTTACCAAAGACTGATTTTTACATAAAACAGTAAGTACATTTACAACACATCGCCGGGCAGTCTTTGTTGAATAAGTTTTCAAGCCGAAGAAAATCGTTTTTATTTGTCAAATGTTTCCCGTTGACGTGCAAGACTATCGGAGACGTACATGTGACAAATTATCCAAAAATTCGGGGGGAGGGGGGACCTCTCTCATCCTGACCCGATGAAAAATATAATATTGGGCAGCGATTTGGAAGTTTATATTTGTTAAGGACCGAGTCTTTATTGCGTATCATGTAAATTGACATCATCTCAGCCAATACCCGACATATTTCTCAAACAACATTAATCAGTTTCTTCAAGTTACCGAAAACTAACTATCACAACTAAGAAAAGCCATGTATTTCAATGTTAATCATTGTTACACACACATATTTGGAGCTGGTCGTAACGACTTGTATAACATAAACATACAAAATTTTACATTTAAACACTTAGATTACTTGTAAATTAGTTTTTAAATGTTTGAAGGTGGCGAAACAGTAAAAGGAAGCGTGTAACCTTAACCTTCACCATCAACACATGTTTGCACGAAATAAAAAAATATATAAAAACAAAACATCATTTTTTCTATTTCTGTTATTTTTTTCAAACCTTCAAGCGGGGTTTGATCTGTAAACACTTTGTCCACTTGTTGTAGCTGCCTCTGTTACTCTTTCATACGGAGAGTTCACGGTTTAGATCTAATATTGAAGTACCCAGAAGTCTGCAGTTTACGCCCGAAAGAAGTTTGCAAATATTTGATTGGGTCCAGAAAAATAAGATCCAGATCTAGAGAAAATACTTCTTAGTACGAAGTCGTTGGAAAATTTTCAACATTATTCCATCATTTCTCCGATCAGTGCCCCATTTAACTCCCGCGCTTTTTTTACCCCCGTCGCTTCCTCCTACCCGTTCTGAATGACGTAATCCTCATTATATTGTGACGTCATATTCAACCAGAATGACGTTATCACAATTGACGTACTAGCAGATTGAACCACTGGAGTTACTTGGAGAAAACCCTGCAATCGATCAGGTAAAAGAGAGATAGCCTAACATATATATGTTTCCCAGTCATTATTTAGGGATTGGTTGTCATAATTTTGACGTTTATTGGCGTGTAAACTACATCGGGCTTGCGATATATTGAATGGTGTGGCAATTTATCATATTCATTAATTAAACACATACTCTGATTTCTTTTTATACTGATTCCCCCATCCGATAGGTGATCCGTAAAATTTCGTTTCTCCGCCGTATAAAATATACATGCTCATTTCACAATTATATTGTGTTTTTTAGCAAAAAAAGGTCCAAAAGTTTTTTCGTTTCAAGATTCCACCTGGTCTTTTTTTATTGTCTTTTTTTAAGGGTCTCTATGCCTTTGTTTAAATTTTGCCCTAGTTCTCTTTCAAATATCCTAGAAACGCCCCTAATAAGCGTACAGAAAAGAACAAGTGTTCCCAACAGGGTAATCATTTTCTGCATCAGCTGTCATATAACAAACGGAAATAGAATATTTAATCATCCCGTTTGTCCGTCAGCTGGCAATCGATTATGAAGATCAAAGGTCAGATATAAACACCATAGATTGGTGAACCAGAGATGTAAGTTGTAACGATCAAGAACGGAAAGTTCGTGATAAAAATAGAAATCGTCACGCTAAATCGTACAGCATATTAGTGAGTCGCCCCTGTCGTCATGTTGAAAGAAAAGACCAACGGATGCAGCTGGTGAAGAAGAGTCTGTAGTGTCCTGATGTGTCTGTAGTGTCCTGATGTGTCTGCAGTGTCCTAATAGTCCTTGATTTCAAATTCATAAGCAAATATACGATGGACGTGATCAGTAAAGTTCTTGACAGTACGTGTACGTCCAGGGGTGTAGCTGGGATATAAATCTTGTGTACAGTAGGCACAATGAATAGAAAAATGTGCATTTTTTTAGTTTAACGACAGCAGTTACCAGTACGTTTTGTGACTAAATATTTAAGGATATAATGATATAGGATTTTAGCAGGAGTTTCCAACTAATTCCCTCTGACAATATTTATGAAACGATTTTTAAGTAGAATACTCACTCATTGTTATCCAAAAATCTTTAAACTAAATTTAAGCTCTTAGTTTTTCTTGGAAGAAGAAAAAGACTACCAAAGCGTAAACGAAGTGTGAACTCAAAATCGATAAAACTAGGGCAAAATTTAAACAAAGGCATGGAGACCCTTAAAAAAAGACAATAAAAAAAGACCAGGTGTTCCAGAAGAGTTAGTGTCTTGCAGAGTTATCTTCTCTTGGGAGCAGGTATTGATTGTTACGTCATTGGTTTGTGTGAGAAAATTACGTCGTTTTCTCAAAAATTGATGACGTTACTCTCACAAAACAATGACGTAACAATCAATACCTGCTCACAAGAGAAGATAACTCTGCAATACGCAAAGACGGAAAAGGTCAAATATAGGTTACGTCCACAAAGCGAGAACTGGGGTAATGACAACAAAACCTAAGGAGCATAATCAACAACATCGACCTTCATATAACACAAAAATTGTATATTTCACAATCAGATCATGATGACGACCATTAAACTTGTCAATAGTCTACATTAAGCTGCATCTTTGAAAACCCTGTGTTATAACTCTGTCCGTCAGCAGTCTACATATCTATGATATCATGATGAAGTCATGAAGTTTTGAAATTATGCTATTTGCAACAAACTCTTGAATACCGATCGAATCAACAGCAACATAGAAAGTAAGGATGTTACCCTCAAGAAAGGGAAAGATCATATTTGGAAGATCAAAATAGTCACGCTTATCGAAGCGTAGTTTTAAGAGGTCTCCTGATTATGTTATATAAAGATTAAGGACAATGACAGACTTAAAGGAAAATGTAGTGTACTTAATTTCAAGCTCAGGAGGCCTAGGGTATACAAGTTCGACGGGGTCAATAAAATTCTTGTTATTTAAAGAGAACGCATATCGTCGATGTATTTGAATGTTAAATTGAAGGACTTGCAATTGGCTAAGGTTTCTGTTTTTGTCCTAAATGTTTATCAATAAATTTCGCTTCGTATGAACACCAAAAGAAGTCGGCCAGAGGAGGGGCACAAATTCTTCCCATAGGAATGGCTACAGTCAGCTTACTGATGGAAAGTCTTGCCACCGGACTTAATATTAATATTATTGAAAAGAGACCTCTCATAATAAGAAAACGAGGGCGTTCTTTCTATTTAATATGAGGAGCTGTTGTATAATGGGTCAAAAGGTAAAAAGGCTTGATATAAGAAACATTTTTAAGAAGAGGATGTTCAAAAATGATCAAATGTTTTTTTGAAATTTTCAAATTCCACAATCCAATTATTCCACTTTTTCAATTTTATGAACTTACGCTGACAAAAAAATAAAAACTTGACAAACTAATGTGTAGGCTCGTGCCTACTCGAGCCCTAGGCAGCTACGCTACTGACGTCGTCTGAAAGTGAAATTAAAAGACGTGACAATGTTCGCGCTATTCCATTACTGATAAACTCTTCAATAACTTCAGCCTCATAAGAAGAAAAAAAAATCGGCCAAACCAGTTTGCATATGTTAGCAATTGGGCTGCGTGTGATTAGTCTTGGACGAGTTTGCTTGTCAATTGAGGGTACACGCATGAATATGCATATTTTTGGGTTTCCACATAAATCAACATTAGAACTGGCAGAAAGGCATTAGTGTCTGCAGCTTCCAATAAGTATAACATGAGCTTATTCTGACTTGTTGGTGAACTAAAAGCGATGAATTACATAAGAGATCCATGGCGCGCGCAAAAGAACAACCTTATTTAATAACAGGACCATTTAGGCCATGCTACCACATATAGGTATTGAGTTCGAAAGTGCAATCCATTACAGTCATTAGTATAACATATATATATATGATGGTAGAATACATTTGAAGGTGGGCTTTATTATTGTTTTCTTATATTTTCTCACTCTCTGTATATTTTCACCATACTAACACGCATATATGGTGGTGCTGTTTGCCTCAGTTCTTTGCACAACTGCAATGGACCCGGCTACATTTTGATTGCTAACAAGAATTATTTTTTTAACAAACCTATTTTCTTTTAGATTTGCGGAAGGATATCCGCCTTTGCCACGTCAACTGATTGCCTGTATATTTTTTTGCAAATACCGCTGGGAATTAAAGAAATATAGACGTTGAAGAATTATGATATTTTGTATGTTAAATATGCTTCACTGCTTTATTTTAAAACTCTATTCCATGCATTTTCGCTACTAAAAAATATTTACTCATCAATATTTTTTTCTGTTTTCAAAAACAATGCCGACTTAGGGAAATACGGGCAGTTTTCCGCCATACCTCTTTGGTGAAAATATAAACGAAATAATAACACAGTTTGTAATACAAAGTCATTGGATTGCACAAAAGAAGATTATAATGAAATTTGGCAAAAAAAAATCACGTGTCGGTGACAATATTTATAAGTAGGAAATTATGGATAAATAGAGTGAGACAAATGACAGGGGAAATTTGTTGCATGTTTTGCTTGCAATTACACCTATTAGTCTACATATGTAATTATAGTTTCCGCTGGTTATTCAGTAGCCCGAGTTTCCTCTGGCCCTAACACCAGACTTCGACCTTTTTTATATGTCAAAAAGTCTAAGTCTGGTGTTAGGGCCAGAGGAAACTCGGGCTAGTTATTCAGTCACAGTCGTGACGGCTTGAGACGAGAGAAAGTGGGAGAGGGAAAAAGAAGGCTCTACCAGTAACGTTATGCTGTATAATATAGAGATATGCATAATTTGAAAAAGGTGTATAACTCTACGTGAATTATTGCACATACATTTTACATTGCCAAATAGTCCGCATTCGCCTTTCCGTCATTTGGTTTCGTATGTATAACGGATTCTGGCCTTATAAATGTACAGACAATAAAAACTATATAATATCAATACAAAATCCCTTGTATGTCGAATCTTTAACATGTATTCACGTTATTAAACCAAGCATTTAATTATTCAGTAGGAAAATCCGGAAAACCCCGACGTCAAGGTCAGTGAAGAACCTTGCTCCCAGGTCACATAATAACATAGCCAGTCAGGGAACGAGGCTGTATCTTCGGCAAAACTCGGATTGTTACGCTCAACAACCTATTTCTGAAAAGACCTTTGGAGGGGATACATTTAACAATATTTTGCTACAAATATGTCGACAACGTTGGAGGTGAGATTTTTGTTGGATCGTAATTTAAAGCTGTCCATTGAATTATTATATAATTGGACTGATTTATATTGAAATATTTTGATGGAATTTTTATAATTTGACATTTTTTGTGTAACGGTACATGTAGCATCCCTCTACATCAGTAGCAATCTGAGGCTGCTGTAGTTAAAAGGTCAAATAAAAGGGGGAATGCTTTCTAAAATGGCCTATAACTGATTTAACTAGAAATTTATTAAGGAAATGCATTCCAGAATTTAAATACAAGTACGATTTTTATTCCGTTATGTATAATACAATACAATGTAGAACATAACACATTTATTTGCAAATTAAGTTACATGTATTGCATTTTGTTTCCAGGAACGTGAAATTTCTGCACCGCGAGCTGGGAGATTTAAAGTGCATATTCAGGTGGGTGATACAATGTGTGGAAATTATGTGAAAAATAGCTTGGAACTAGTCGGGCGTTTTTATGATTTTCATTTGAAATAAAATGTGGCAATGCTTATTATTAACGCAGGTAAGTTCATTACATACTGTGCTATTATTTCTAAAGCCTACAGAATATGTGTGAATACAGTTAACTTCTACTGTATTTTGATTTCATTTCTGCTCATATTTTTGCCGTAGAAGATTGTTATTCGAGACTAGCGTTAGCGTCAGTCACGTGACTCGCCGACCGAATTGGATAGTAAACAAAGGCACATGCTTGCCGCGAGTACTATGTGTGTTTATTGTGACGGGAGATCTGCCCCATTTTCCCGGCTAACCCTGGCTAAGTTTATCTAAGGTCACCTCACATATTTGAAGGTCTTTTAAAGCAGGAGGTATTGGGTGTTTTGTAAACAAGACATGGCGTCAAGTATTGATTTTGAACTTGGGTAGCTTATTGATTGATAATTGTTAAAGCAGCGAAGCGGAACATACCAGTATTTCCAAGGACACTGGTTATCAATAATTCAGGTCATGCACTTTATCCTTCATGTATATGTTAGATGTGGAAATTATATAAATTCATATGTATGCTTTCAAATAAATAATGTTTATCTATCTTTTGATAGAATTTTATATTTATATTTATTTTTTTATGTCATGATCATCAGATTGTTCTGTAAGCCACCAAAAGTTTTTTAGTTGAAACACAGAAATATTTTTTGTTAACATAAATTTCTCAAATTTCTCGAAAATAATTAACTGATTGATTAAATACCCAGTGTTCAAAGAAGGTTATATTAATTATTTAGTATTTTCAGATCAATCTTAAAAAATTGCAAAATATAATCCATCAGAATTTTCTGACAAATTTTCCTTGTACATAGGAATATAAATAGTTTCCCAGGAAAATGTCTTTTGTTTCCAGGTTTTCATATGATACAAATTTTAGTCAAGATAAATTTTCAGGGGAGGGTATATAATTCTGGCAACTTTCTTGCTTATACAGTGTTTGATTTTGACAGTATTATAGTAATATTTTTCTATTGGGCAAATGGAAATTCATTTGGTTTATCAGCAACTCAGAAAATCTGGGGTTACTCTACCATAGACATTGAATGCAATTTGAAGACAAATCATTTGATGCTTGGTGATACTGTTACAGAAAGCTAGCTGACCAAAATCAATAACATTCTGTGTTAGTGAAGAGGATCATCGGGGGGGAAAAAATAGATGAAATTCCATAGCTTTAGCCTTTTGGTATATATTAAGTTGCCATGGCAACATGAAGATCTTGTCAGCTGATTCTTTTTTAACAATATATAATGATACATTTCCATAGGTGTCATTTACAGTAGCACATGGTGTCAACACTAATAGTACACTGTAGATGTATATCTTGATGTCATCTTTAAGTGTGACAATGGTGACAATGGTCAGTAAACTGTTGCTTGTGGTGTCAACATTTGTCTAGGTGTGACCAATAGCTAGGTCAACTCTTAGTAGACTGTATAGGTGTTACAGGTGATGTCAACACTTAGTAGGTGTGACTTAGGGTGTCAACATTTTAAGTAAAATAGGTTTGACTCATGATGTCGACACTTATTTAGTATACATTTAGGTGTAGGAATGTATTCTACTCAGAGTGTCAGCACTCACTACACTGTAGCCATTTGAGTTGTGACTGATGGTACACTGTAGGTGTGACCGATGGTGTCAACACTAAGTAAACTGTAGGTGTGACTGATGGTGTCAGCACTAAGTACACTGTAGGTGTGACCGATGGTGTCAACACTAAGTACACTGTAGATGTGACCGATGGTGTCAACACTAAGTACACTGTAGGTGTGACCGATGGTGTCAACACTTAGTACACTGTAGTTGTAACTGATGGTACACTGTAGGTGTGACCGATGGTGTCAACACTAAGTAAACTGTAGGTGTAACCGATGGTGTCAACACTAAGTAAACTGTAGGTGTGACCGATGGTGTCAACACTTGGTACACTGTAGTTATGACTGATGGTGTCAACACTAAGTCCACTGTAGTTGTGACTGATGGTGTCAACACTAAGTACACTGTAGTTGTGACCAATGGTGTCAACACTAAGTCCACTGTAGGTGTGACCGATGGTGTCAACACTAAGTACACTGTAGGTGTGCCGGATGGTGTCAACACTAAGTACTCTGTAGGTGTGACGGATGGTGTCAACACTAAGTACTCTGTAGGTGTGACGGATGGTGTCAACACTAAGTACACTGTAGTTGTGACTGATGGTGTCAACACTTGGTACACTGTAGTTGTGACTGATGTTGTCAACACTTAAGTACACTGTAGTTGTGACTGATGGTGTCAAAACTTGGTACACTGTAGGTATGACTGATGGTGTCAAAACTTGGTATACTGTAGTTGTGACTGATGGTGTCAACACTAAGTCCACTGTAGTTGTGACTGATGGTGTCAACACTAAGTACACTGTAGGTGTGACGGATGGTGTCAACACTAAGTACACTGTAGTTGTGACTGATGGTGTCAACACTAAGTACACTGTATGTTTGACCGATGTTGTCAACACTTAGTACACTGTAGTTGTGACTGATGGTGTCAACACTAAGTCCACTGTAGTTGTGACCGATGGTGTCAACACTAAGTACACTGTATGTGTGACCGATGGTGTCAACACTAAGTACACTGTAGTTGTGACTGAAGGTGTCAACACTTAGTACGCTGTAGTTGTGACTGAAGGGGTCAACACTAAGTCCACTGTAGTTGTGACCAATGGTGTCAACACTTAGTACACTGTAGATATGACTGATGGTGTCAACACTAAGTACACCGTAGTTGTGACTGATGGTGTCAACACTGGGTACACTGTAGGTATGACTGAAGATGTCAACACTTAGTACACTAGGTATGACTGATGGTGTCAACACTAAGTACACTGGAGTTGTGACTGATGGTGTCAACACTTGGTACACTGTAGGTATGACTGAAGATGTCAACACTTAGTACACTAGTTATGACTGATGGTGTCAACACTAAGTACACTGTAGTTGTGACTGATGGTGTCAACACTTGGTACACTGTAGGTATGACTGAAGATGTCAACACTTAGTACGCTGTAGTTGTGACTGAAGGTGTCAACACTAAGTCCACTGTAGTTGTGACTGATGGTGTCAACACTTAGTATACTGTAGTTGTGACTGATGGTGTCAAAACTTGGTACGCTGTAGTTGTGACTGATGGTGTCAACACTAAGTACACTGTAGTTGTGACTGATGGTGTCAACACTTGGTACACTGTAGGTATGACTGAAAATGTCAACACTTAGTACACTGTAGTTATGACTGATGGTGTCAACACTAAGTACACTGTAGTTGTGACTGATGGTGTCAACTCTTGGTACACTGTAGGTATGACTGAAGATGTCAACACTTAGTACACTAGTTATGACTGATGGTGTCAACACTAAGTACACTGTAGGTGTGACTGATGGTGTCAACACTAAGTCCACTCTAGTTGTGACTGATGGTGTCAACACTTGGTACACTGTAGATATGACTGATGGTGTCGACACTAAGTCCACTGTAGTTGTGACTGATGGTGTCAACACTTGATACACTGTAGTTGTGACTGATGGTGTCAACACTTAGTACGCTGTAGTTGTGACTGATGGTGTCAAAACTAAGTATACTGTAGTTGTGACTGATGGTGTCAAAACTTGGTACGCTGTAGTTGTGACTGATGGTGTCAAAACTAAGTATACTGTAGTTGTGACTGATGGTGTCAAAACTTGGTACGCTGTAGAGTACACTGTAGGTGTGACCGATGGTGTCAACACTAAGTACACTGTAGATGTGACCGATGGTGTCAACACTAAGTACACTGTAGATGTGACCGATGGTGTCAACACTAAGTACACTGTATGTGTGACCGATGGTGTCAACACTAAGTACTCTGTAGTTGTGACTGATGGTGTCAACACTTAGTACACTGTAGTTATGACTGATGGTGTCAAAACTTGGTACGCTGTAGTTGTGACTGATGGTGTCAACACTAAGTACACTGTATGTGTGACCGATGGTGTCAACACTAAGTACACTGTATGTGTGACCGATGGTGTCAACACTAAGTACTCTGTAGTTGTGACTGATGGTGTCAACACTTAGTACACTGTAGTTGTGACTGATGGTGTCAACACTTGATACACTGTAGTTGTGACTGATGGTGTCAACACTAAGTACACTGTAGTTGTGACTGATGGTGTCAACTCTTGGTACACTGTAGGTATGACTGAAGATGTCAACACTTAGTACGCTGTAGTTGTGACTGATGGTGTCAAAACTTGGTATACTGTAGGTATGACTGAAGATGTCAAAACATACTGCATTTACTGCATGTATTACATATGGTGTCAACACTTAGTACCTACTTAGTAGGTGTAGGTATGTATGTTACTCATGGTGTCAGCACTACTTCAGTGAAGGTGTGACACATGGTGTCAATGGCGAGGCCACCTTATAGATACATGGTAAGTGTGAATAATAGAAAATGTCAACTGAACTTGAAATAAATCCTTTTGCTGATGTTTATTTCCGGGGAACATATTTAATTTCCTTGTTAATTGTTTTCTTGTCTTGCATTATTGTCATAATCAAGTTAATTTGTTTTGATAGAATGTGTATAGTTTAATGATCAATAAACACTTCCAAAATCTATTCTTTACTCACAAATCCCTGTACACACAAATTGCAGCTCACCATGTCAATACACCCTATTTATAGAGTTGTAATGTTATGTTTTTTGTCTTACCCACATCAAAACAAATGTCACCATACATGATAGTGTGTGTATAAATATGTACATGTGTTTGGTAATAGTCCAGGATATGTGTTGTTGAATCTTCAGGGAGGAACAGAATTGGGTGATATTTACCCCTCACTATTTATAAACTCTATAGTGCTTGTTTACGTTTTGTC